TAGAGCCTGACGGGGTGGGGGTAACTTGAGAGCGAGTAACGGAACGGTCAACTGTCAAATTACTTGCTGTATGGACACTAGCAAAAAAGGAAAGAAGGAAAACAGGAATTTTGACAAACATGGAGATGATTTGTAACAAGTGAACTCTGACAAAATTCGCCACTAACTTAAGGTCTGAATTGGAATAATCGCGTTAAAATTTTAAAGAAAGCGAATTCACAGTCACTGTCCCTGTCGCACAATAGCGACCTTAAGATTCCGACGAGGGCGACGGAAACGTGCACGTCAAAAAAGCAATCATAGTTTTAATAAGCAAAACAAAAACTCTGCACGTGCATCACGCTTTTTTGTACATTTCTTTGTCATCACTGCACGACTACACCTGAAATCCTAATTTTGCGTTTAAAAGAGGACGTCAACAAGCGACGATTAAACTTTCTTTCCCCTTCTGAATTAAACTCCAGGAGTTTTCGCTTACATTTGACAAATTAGGTAAGTTGGAATAACTGCAATGAAGATTGAACGAACGCGAATTTAAATGTTAAGGCGACGAAAAACTATTGCTTTTTTGATCTTCTCCTTCACACGTCGCACGTGGTCGTTGTTAACCTCACTATGAGCAGCAAACAGCTAACCGTGATACAAATTAAGATCAATGCATCGGTAATAATCTCCTAAATAGCTGCCAACCGTCAAAATTATGAACTAATTACCTTGCAGTTTTATCCCGATCAGAGGCTCTAGAAAACTCGTCGCTAGCGTAAGTCCTTGTTCCAAGACTACTCCTAGCTGGTGATCCCCGGTCCACCGCATCCGTCCCAGACCGTGAAGACCTGGTTCGAGAATAGCTGTCTGTATGCTCGCTCTTTGAGTAGCTTGAATAGCTATCACGTGAGCGTTCGTTTCGACTTCTGTCACTAAAAAATTAACGAGTGTCAACAATACGGCTATGAAAAAAACAAAGAAACTTAACTGACCATGCCAAATGACAATCTGCTCTTCTCAGCAACAAGTCACTGCCCCAAAGTTTTCGACGTCCAAGGGAGTAAGGAGGTAAAACCGTCACTTTCTTCGGGTACTTTTTAAAATCCAATTACCAAAATATTTATCTCCTGTACACATTACGTCATGCCGATTACGGAACAATTTACTCTTTTTGAACACGTCCGGGCTTATTGAATCGGTTGACGGGCATTTAAACCCACAACACGAACATTTGTTTTTCCCGCTGGCTCGAAAGGAAACAAGATTCAAACTCAACGAATCGTAATTATGGTTTTGGATTTCAGATTACGACAACCGCCGGCGCCGACGAGTATAGACATTTTGAGAGAACCACATTAATAATTACAACTTCGAAAATTAGCCAAATATTGTTAGCCCGATTTCTTTAGAATATTACACAATTTAATTTTTTTTTTCTGGCCACGGTTGAATGACCAGACCAGCTTGGCAGTCCTTATCTGGGCAGTGATCTGTAACAACGATGTCGATATTGCTTTCCGTAAAACATGTTCAGCAATACGGAGAGAGATTAGACACAATCCAGAAACGGTAGCCATTTCATCGGCCCCCTTTTTTATAATACGTAAAGTTAAGCACAGATTTTCAATTTTAATGAAGTCTAATTGATGATTTTTCTACATGGTAATTTCCTGCAGGTAAGTTTTATTGGAACAAACAAAAAAGAAATAAAATTTTAATTTTAATGTATAGCACAGTGCCATCTTATTGAATCTTAATCTTCCTCAAATCAAGCGCTGATCATGACAAATTTTACAAGGCAGACATAGCTTGGCTGTCAACCATTTTTAACGGAGCAGTACTCGACGGGTATCCTAGGATATCCAATGAACTGCCTGCATAATAGACATTTCATGAGAAAGATGTTTTTTCATTCAGTGACACACACGGCTCGAAAGAAAAGCCTCCAGCATATGTACAACACGCGATCATCCACCTACGGGAATTTTACGTACAAATCACTAGGTTAGAGATACATAAGCGTTCTTTTTCAAGATTAAGCGCAAAGTTGTGGAATGAGATACCGTGTAGCTCGGGAAATCTACCTAAGAAGGAATTTAAAAGAGAAATTTGCCGACTTCTCCTAGATATTTTAGTAAAAGAGAATAACTATCTGGAAACACGTATCGTCATACATAATCAGGAGAAGATGGCGGAGAAGTGGAGAGTTTGTATGGCAATACAAAGTCAACTAATTCTTGCTAAGTGAATATATTTGTCACTTTCGCTTTGAAAAATGTAACCGATGAACATAAAGAAACTACACACTAAATCTGGAGTGCATAGCAGTCCTTTGTTGCTTTTTAGAGAACCTGAGTTCTTCCATAGATTTTCTGTAATCCAACAACACAAAAATTACACATAATGTATGGAAGAAGTCAAATTTGCTAAAAAGCGACAAAGGACTCTGTGCTCTCCGCATTTAGTGCTTAGTGTCTGTAAGTTCATCAGTTACAGTTTGCAAAGAGAAAGTGACGAATATATTCAATTACTTTAGGAAGAATTAGTTGACTTTGATTTTCCCATCATCCTGTCCCGGTTACCTATGATGCCGTTAGAACCGTGAAGGGCCCAATTGCACTTGGAATTTATTGTAGTAAAACGTCACAATTCCAAACCGACGCTTTGTTCTGACACAAACCTACACGAGGAACGTCTATAAGACGTTAGGTTGACCGAATTATCAGGGAGAGTTTCACAGTAAAATGAAACAAAAACGAAGCCCTACTATCCATCTCAACGCTCTCATCTGGCTTTGAAAAAATACTTCGATACGCAATTAGGTCAGCACATCCTTGCTCTGAATAAGTAAAATTGGGTATGTATCTATATATGGCGAGTTCGCAGTTATCTAAGTTGTTACCCTGGGTGAAAAGAAAGTCGAGGGAATGAATTGGCCTGAGTCATCCCTGGCTGGGACTGGAAGGCGAGAGCATGTAGACGTGTTTCTGTGCGCTCCGATTAAGAGCCTTATTTCTTTTCTTTCGTTCTATGTTATGTCTTTAAATAACCTACTGGTGTCCAACGTAAAAAGAAAACTACATAGACGAGACTCGTCAGAGAGCTCTAGCGGTTCACCGGTGGAGAAAAGATTGAAAGAGTTTTTAAGGCTTACAGCAGGCGTGAAAATCTCAAGTTTGCTGGTATCCCCGAGTCCGAAGGCGAAAGTCAGGAAGATGCAAGACGTACCCTAGTGGAGTTCTTATCAAACCAGCTCGGTTTTCACCATCCCGAAGAAATTGAATTCCAACGCATACATCGTATTGGAAAGAAGGGAGACCGCCCTCGTATGATTATTGCGCGTTTTCTAAGATATGCCGACCGAGAGAGGGTTATGAAGAACGCCTTTAANACGGATTTCAAAATTTTTGAGGACCTACCCAAAGAACTGTTCAGTTTAAGAAAGAAGTATCTGCCTGCCTTTTATGAAGCCAAGAAAGCAGGGAAGAAAGCGGTTTTTAGCAAATCCGAACCGGATAAACTGTTTATCGATGGTAAGCTTATTGTTTAAACCGTGTTAGGCATATGATATTCGGTAGGAAGAGTAAATACATACAAGAATTGTTCATCTACACTCTTTATGTAATCAAAAAGGCTTTTTAGGAGTGTTCATTAGAGTCGAGATTGCTGTAATTCCATATAAGCTAATCTCTAGATCTCTTAGGTCTACACATTTCTTTTTAGTTTGTTTTGTTTTGTTTTTGTCTTTTCCCGCTAGCCCAAGTCGCAAGGTCGCGTTTAGGATCATTTCTTGCGATCTTTTATATAAGTTTGTGCGTGCTTACATGTGTATGCGAATTGTAGTAGTGTCTCCCTCGGGGTTTATATGTAGTGCAATGTTTTTGTCATTATACTTGTTAGGTACAATACTAAATAACTGTTTTCTCACATTCGCCATGCTAACACCTTTAATCATTCTTGCTAATTCGGCAGATGGAATTATTCAACATTTAATCAAGTACAGTGGTACAAGAGAATGCTACTTTAGATTTTAAAATGCTTTCTTTAAATGCTCGCGGTATTCGCTCCCCTGAAAAGAGACAGGCTCTGCTTATTTGTTATGTTCATCAGTTAGAAAAGAAACTTATGAATTCAAATAACAAAGTTGCCGATCAGGAAAGTAAATGGGAAAAGTTTCAGCTATTCTGCCGTGGTAGTGAGAATTAGAATGCAAAAAAAACTTATGTCCTATTTTATAGTAGTAATTGTACCTAAACAGTCTTTGTGTCAGCCATTATTTATGTATTGTAGGAAATGTATTTTGTGTACTCGTAGTAGTATTTTATTGGTATAGATGTAGTAGTGCTTGTGCAAAAAATAAAGGAAAAAAAAAAAATCCCTTGGCAAAAAACCTGCGCACGAGGCCTTTGACCCTTTCAGCCCCGTATCGAGAGACATATTCTCAAGACCTATTTCCGTATATTTCCTTAAAGAATTGGTTACGAGAAATTGATAAAAGATCCAAGCATTTTCCCTTTGATGATCATTTTGATGATTCCCATAACCTTTCTCTTGTAGATGTATCGATATTGTTAGGAGAAAACAAAAGTTGGTCACGAGGCTTTCATTTGCCTCTCTTGGTGTTGATGTCAGATGTAAACAAACATTTTGATAAAAGGTGTCATGGTCGGACACGGCTGTGTAAATTTTTGGGGAGAGAGCATTTCTGTTTAAAACGAAATGAGCCAAATTACAATTTCTACTGATTTTGTTTTTTGTTGCTGTTTTTGCCTTTTTTTTTTTTTAAATCGTAGCCAAGTTCCTGTTGTCATTTTTTCTCTTTGCTCGTTACAAATCTAACATTCATTTAACTTCCGGAAAATTAGGGACTTGGAAAAGTCAATATCTACTCACTTTTCTCCAGACTGGCTCTTAAGCTTCTTCAGCTTCTGCATAATAGTAGAGTCGGAAGCAGTAGGCGAGTCCTTAGCAGCCGAATGTGGCCCATCTCTGGCCGAACCTTCATCACTTTCTCCCTCGGACAAAGGTCTCTTCCTTTCTCCCGAAGCAGAGTCACCGCGGGCCGACTCAAAAGTCGGGCGCGACTCGGATCGGCTCGCTCCAGGAGACTGGTAGCTAGGCAGCTCTTCGGCGATGCTGGCGGAGTGAGAAGCGGATGGTGATACAGTTTTGACGTCCTCTGACACAACTGAACGACTGCGAGTGGACTGGTCACCGGGTTTGTCTTCAAACTCTTCGGGTATTTCTGTCGATTCTGCCTCGCTCTAAAAACATGATGAATGAGGTCAATAGGAGCTATATAGGAGTTCAGCTTAAGGAGCGCAACTTACCAAGGAATAACAACTATCAACACTTTAATATTTTTTAACCTCACGACTTAACAAGGGCAACGCGATTTCACCTTTATACAGCCATTCTGAAAATAAAAAAAGGCTTGTTGCTGTTCCGGGTTTGTTAAGTCCGTTCGCACTACGCCCCAATGCGTGATTTTGAATTTCTACCATGCAGATGTTGTCAAAACTTGCCAATCTTAAAAAGGATCGTAGTCGGGTCTGCCTCGGGGCTCGAAAATCTTTAATCAAACGTCAAAAACTAAAAGAGCCGTGAAAAGATCAATTTTTAACGCTTCTCGGGTTTTTGGCGAAAAAATTTAGCTATTCAATTCTACTTTGATTGACCAACGCAGTTTGTGAAAAATTACTTGGTGACCGATAACTTTCCGCTTTGCCCGCCATGAACTGCTTTGGTCAGTAGATTAGGGGGGGTAAGGAAATACGCTTATTCTCGCCCGAAAAGGGAAGATAAATTCAGAATAGCGAGTTTAAAAGTGAAATACAAAAAGTTAAGTGTGAATAAGCGCTTCATCCTTCTAGTTATAACAGTCAGACCGAAAATGTTGCGATGGCTTCGCTTAGCATCATAGAATCCAATAGAAGACATCACTGTTTACAAACATTGTTTTTGTTTCTCAAATTTTGTAACGAGTGAAACAAAAGAATCGTTTGTTTCAAGAACCACTGCGCTTCAAGTTCGCACATTAATATCAATAGGAGACGTAAGGGCGAATATCGAAATAAATTTATTTCCGCACCAGGGAAAGGAAACGATCACCCAAAATTGTGAGCTACTGAGACAAATAGAATTAAGTCCAAGCAACTTCAAGGAACGTTCTTGATCCCAGTCAAGACTGACTATCTGTGAGAGAGGATCTTACGATACGCCGTTTCCGGTGTATGGGTACAAGACTAGTATATTTTTACCTGGTGTAACAATGATGCCATTTATCACATCTGGGCAAACAGGGTCCCATTGATATAAACACAGGGTAAATGTAACCATGAGAAATGGTTTATTTTATGGTAGATCCCTCCGCCGCCCTACCTTAACTTGATCGCCCGAGTCTTGTCCTGTAGCAGTCAAGTTCTCCCCTCGCTCCTGCTGCCCTGGAGTGGTTTGTTCTGTAGTCGCCTTGTCTCGTATTTTCTTGGTGTTTTTTCGTAACCGTGCAATTTCTTCTTGTTGCATCAACAGCAGACGCCGTTCGTAACTTGCCGCGCGGTTTGCAGCTTTCAGACGCTTGATCTCCGCCTTATAACGGGAAAAAAACATAACATTACGTATGCACACAAAAGTGTTTTGTTGTCGCAGATTTAATCTGTTTGCCTCGAGGTAGGCTCAACCAGCCTGTGTATGTTGTGCGCGAGGAGCGGAGCAGGAGAAGAGGTTTTCGTCCCTTTCGCCACACGCGCTATGCCTTTGTCTTGCTCTTCTTCTTTGAGGAGCACCTCAAAGGAAAATATCTGTTCGGAACACGATTTGAGATTTAGAATTTTCGGAACATTTTTTGTAAAATTTCTTGCTTGCCTGCCTCTCCTGGGATTTTCGAACATCCAAAAAATGGTATAATTGCCCATTTTTTAACGGATTTTTACCCTAAAAAGGTCACCTAGAGTTTTCGCGAACCTTTTTTCTGGCTCAAATTTTCGAAATGGTAAGTTTCGATCCCTGTAATTTTCGGATCACTACACTTTCAGCTAGGAAATCCGAACAGATGAAAAATTTTTAGGAGATAAAAATATGCCTGTATCTACCGTTTAAATACTAAAATACGTTTAACCATGATATGTTTAAGTAGTTTTGAGCTATATTCTCGTTGGGTGCCCTTGTTCTTTGAGTACATTAAAAGGCAGCCCCTTATGTATGCTAAATTCCCCCACAACAGACCTTTTCACGGTGTTTTTCAACTTTTGAAATGGACAAGTTCGGGAAAATCCGTCCACACCAATGAAAAGAGCGCCTTAAAATTAGTAAAAGTGCCAAGTTTGAAAGTGATTTGTTGAAAACTAACGAAGATACATCTCCTCAAAGTCGCAAAATTTTACAGACGTTTGTATGGTGGGAGGCAACATACAAACGGCGTCTGTAAATTTTCGCAACTTTTCGGAGCTATGTCCTCACTCGCTAGAGATGTATCACATTCAAATTTGGCAATTTCACTTATTCTAAGGTTCTGCTTCCAGTGGTGTGGACGGATTTTCCCAAACTTGTTTATTTCAAAAGTTGAAAAACACCGTGAAAAGGTCTATTGCCTAAGGCGACGTTAACACGGCACCGGACGAATTTTTGACCGTTAAAAATCGTGCGTTTAGGTGTTCCGCTCACACGGAACCACCCTAACCATACGAAAAGTTAGACCCCTAGCCCTCGGAAAGTTCCTTCTGAACAGGGCGAAAATATTGAACGATTCCGTGTGAACGAAGTATCCATGCAGTCGAAATTTTCAGCCGCTCCAAAATTCGTCCAGTGTAGTAGCTTAAAAAGATAACTTTCAATATTTGATGATCATTAGGCAACAACATTACAGGAGTTTACAGTGTTTAAAAAAGAATAAAAGAAACGTCTCATTCGTCTAGAGCGCTGTCTATCAACGGTGTGTGGTTAACATAAGTTCTACGCAATCTATTCACTATTTTCACATGGGCTATAGTGCACCTTGTTTCCCCCTCCAAAATTTTGTATAACCATCGTCTTCGATTTCTCTGGGGACGACTGTAATACCCCGGAGAAATTGGAAACAATGGTTACGCAAAATTTGAGGTGGGGCGGGGGAAACAAGATGCATTATGGTCTATGTGAAAATGGTGAATAGAGTGTTTTCACATGACGTCACGGCTGCCATATTGGTGTCCCAAAACAATGAAACGGCGGCCATGTTGGTCTGTCAAACCAATCCTGTGGGAGTTTTTCTTATGCAAACGCCTTCTTTTGTTCCAATAAATTTGCATAGATGCTAGCCACGTGACTGAAAACGCTCTAAACCTTCACAATGAGAGAGCCTCTTTTTACATTGCAAAAAATGGTCCAAGAGCCTCTGTTTAAGTGGAAACCCACTCGTACTTGTCATAGCTCAACATGTCATAGCTCAGTATGTCTCAACTTCTTATCTGACTCAAAAGGAACAAACAAGCATTCGACTCTAAGATTCCGGTCGCGTAATGTAGTTGTACTGTTTTTTCTTCCCCCTTTTTAACAAAATTGATTTAAGTGCTTTTAAGGCCCTGTCGACACTAATGCTTTTTCAAAAGTATGCGTTTTCGTTGTCATCGAAAAAGCATCGATCAATTCGCGTCCACACTACCGTGTTGATGTGTTTTCGACTGTCCACACTAAAACGTTCGAAAACGATAGAATTGCACGTTGTGACGTAAGTTGAACTCTACGCACATGCTGTAAACACACGCGCCTGTGATATTTTAGGTCACCATTTGCATTTTGACGCGTTTTCGACTGTCAACACTAATACGATACGTACGCGTTTTTGTTTTGAGCCACTTTCAAGAGCGTTTTCAAATCGATGCTTTTTTTATGAAAACGTTCGTCGTATTAGTGTGGACGGAAGGCTTAAACGCGTCGCAATGTACGCGTTTTCAAACAAAAACGCATTAGTGTGAACGGCCTAAGACTGCTGATTCTTGCCCCTTCTGGCGATCAATGTGTTTAATTCCGTCTTGTTTCTACTACCTGTTCCGCCTGAAGCCTCATCAACACTCCACGCTGCCTTTTTCTGATTGAAGGCATGACGTCATCGGCTCCTTTGTCACGGTGTCTTCTTTTCTGACTCTCGAGCCAGGCCATCTCGGCCCTGGTCTTCTCTTTGACAGCTTTTTCGCGCAAGCGCAAAAGACCAGCTTGATGCTTAGCTCGGACTTCCTCTTCTTTCATTAAACGGACCATCTCGGACGTGAACTGGGTGAATGAGTCCTCGCCGGAAAAAGGCGCCGCAGAAACATCTTCTAGCATCTAAAAAAAGGAAAAGACCGTCAAGAGATTCGTTTGCCTGCAATGCAGGGCCTACTACTTGGGGGGGAGGGGGCGAGGGAACGCTCAATGTTGAGTTCAAAGGTCGACTTGGGAGGTAAGAATGAAAAATGAAGTGAATCGTACGGTGAGTTGGGACAAAATAACATTTTCTTGCCTGACTGACTTGCCTATCTCTGTCAATTGTCTGGTTTCCCCTCCCACCCCCGACGCCAACAAAAACAACAACAACATCAGCCTTCCCTTGCAAGCTAGGGATGAGTACAAAAAAAGCTACAGAAGGTAATTAGGGAAAGCACAGTGCTAGCAGAAGAAGAACGATATGGATTCATAGCCGGGCTTGAGTGCGTGCAGGAGGGAGGACTAATGGATGTTAACAATTACTTGAGTACTGGAATAGGTGTTAGGCGCTTAGGTGTACCTTATCAACTGCAAAATCCGATTCGTGGTTATCATCCTAAAAGAAAAGAGAAAAAAGAGAAAAATTGTAAGCCATCAAATTCATGAATAACAAGCACTCAACATTGTAGAACAGCAACAAACCAGTTCTTGCAAAGGACACGTTCCACAAAAGAGTATGTTAAGTAAGTTGTCACACCTAATATCACTTACTGAAGAATAGGAAACAGTGCCTTGATCTGAGCCTATGCTTCCTCTCCTTCCGGTAGTACCCAGACTCCGGCGCCTATGGCTCTCAGATGGCAAAATCATCCGGAAGTCGATCTCATCATCTGTAGCTGTGTGTGATGATATCACAGATTCTTCAAAGTTCAGCGTGTAGTCTTCTACTTCTGGGGATCTTTCCAAGCGCTCTGTAGGGGCAAATCAGAAAGAATTACTCTGTCCATCCCCAAACAACGCAGTCAAGAAAAACTCGTCAAATTCGAGTCTTGGAGGAGCTGTGTTCAATGTTTTGTTTTCCCATTTCAGAACACGTGATGGTACCCCTGAGAAGTGTTTCTCTCAAATTTCGTCCTTTGCACGTGCATATCACGTGCATAGGACGTGCACGTGCAGAACATCACGTGGTAGAAATTGAGAAAACAAAAGATACAAGCTAAAGGGTCTATTCCTCCAACGTCCCGGTAATTGCAGGGCTCGATAAGCTGTTGTGTTTACATTCAAGACCAAGTGTTTAAAAGCTTTCCAGATAATACGATAAACCTATTAGTTAACAAAACAAAGTGCTCTGGTTTGTTGGCTACGATCCGCGCTTTTACTCTTAGGGTTTTGTAGGACCCAAAACGTTTCCGGGACTTTCGCGAAACGGGCCCTTAGGTCACTAATTTCAAGGGCGTAAAAATCCGAAATATGTTCAAAATCGTTCCAGAATATTTCTTTTAAGTTTATCATCCGATAATTTTTCCATCAGAACTTTAAAGCTCCCCAACTACAAGTCACATGGGAAGATCTCCAACTAACCACTAGGCTTTTTGAGGCTGTCCCCAGTTAAAACCTCAGCCAACGAGTCATCTTCAGCCACGTCAAGGCCGACATCAGACACCACGCTATCCGCAACACTGTGATCCATCTCTTCTGGAATACTGCCTGTCTCCTCCCCTGCAGGGAGCGTGTGCTTAGAGCCTGACGGGGTGGGGGTAACTTGAGAGCGAGTAACGGAACGGTCAACTGTCAAATTACTTGCTGTATGGACACTAGCAAAAAAGGAAAGAAGGAAAACAGGAATTTTGACAAACATGGAGATGATTTGTAACAAGTGAACTCTGACAAAATTCGCCACTAACTTAAGGTCTGAATTGGAATAATCGCGTTAAAATTTTAAAGAAAGCGAATTCACAGTCACTGTCCCTGTCGCACAATAGCGACCTTAAGATTCCGACGAGGGCGACGGAAACGTGCACGTCAAAAAAGCAATCATAGTTTTAATAAGCAAAACAAAAACTCTGCACGTGCATCACGCTTTTTTGTACATTTCTTTGTCATCACTGCACGACTACACCTGAAATCCTAATTTTGCGTTTAAAAGAGGACGTCAACAAGCGACGATTAAACTTTCTTTCCCCTTCTGAATTAAACTCCAGGAGTTTTCGCTTACATTTGACAAATTAGGTAAGTTGGAATAACTGCAATGAAGATTGAACGAACGCGAATTTAAATGTTAAGGCGACGAAAAACTATTGCTTTTTTGATCTTCTCCTTCACACGTCGCACGTGGTCGTTGTTAACCTCACTATGAGCAGCAAACAGCTAACCGTGATACAAATTAAGATCAATGCATCGGTAATAATCTCCTAAATAGCTGCCAACCGTCAAAATTATGAACTAATTACCTTGCAGTTTTATCCCGATCAGAGGCTCTAGAAAACTCGTCGCTAGCGTAAGTCCTTGTTCCAAGACTACTCCTAGCTGGTGATCCCCGGTCCACCGCATCCGTCCCAGACCGTGAAGACCTGGTTCGAGAATAGCTGTCTGTATGCTCGCTCTTTGAGTAGCTTGAATAGCTATCACGTGAGCGTTCGTTTCGACTTCTGTCACTGTAGTTCTTAAGGCGCGCCTCTCTTTCTTTAAATAATTGTTCTTGTTGTTCGTAAAATCGCGACATGGAAGCCTTGACAGCTGCTTCTGCGGCCGCACTGGCTGCCTCCGCTGCAGCACCTCGGGTGTCAGCGGTTTGTTGCTTAGCGACATCTAATAAAGTCCGGGCGGCTGACGAGCGGGCCTGGAGGGAAAAATTATGAGATTATACTTGGCAAACTTGAATTAACATTGGAATCGATCATTTTCAATGACCGTGCAAGTAAAACACTCCCGATTCTTACGTATCTATCAGGTTCGCTAGGGCCCGTTTCATTTAAAGCCCCTTACCTTTCAGATGCAGAGTTTAAAATTAATATGATATTGGTAGTGTGGATTCTCGCAAAAAGAAGCGATTTTTAGAAAGCGCTTTCTCCGTCGAAAAAAGACAAAAGGGGCGGATGGATGACCCATAAGGCATTTGGCGTACATTTGACAAACTGAACGGTTACAAATAGACGTGATAAAGTTTGAAAGGACGCAAATTCATTTTTTAGCGATGTTTTGGCTGCCGTCGTCGTCGTCGTTGCTTATTAACCTCCCTAATATAAGAAGCAAGAGATCCGTTTTCCCGTTCACCATATTTTAATGCCTAAACCACGCAAAGGGCTCATACCTCCTCAACTTGTTTGGCTGACTCCGAAGTTGTCCGCGCTGCTTCAGTTTGCACCTAACAAAAAGAAGTAAAAATTCTTTCTTGTAGACGGCGTTAGCCTCGATCACAAGCCGCTGTTCGGGAAGTGAGCCCGCGCTCCTTGTCGGAGAAGACCGAGAGAGCGGCAGAAATCGAGCCTAAGACGGCGATAAATATCTTATTTCACGAAATACCTGTATTGATTAAAGTGAACTGATATAACAACATGCAACGTCTGGAGACTAATAAGCCCTCCGGGTTTAATAATTACAAGGGACTTGTTAACAAAGTAAATAAAAACTTGATTTAAGCTAAAATAAAATCTAGGACAGTAATAAAGGCTAAAGGCTTGTACAGTTCTCACTAGGTTTTTTTATTCTTTTGAGAATAATAGGTGCCTTTTTTAATGTAAACGTCCACAGTTTGCAAAAGAGATAACATAAACTCGAGAACATGAATTATCGTCAGAATTATCGTCCTACTAACTGACTGACTGACTTACTTATGAAACGATAGCATAGTGATTAAAGTTTCTATGGAAACAAAAATCGCAAAAAAGAATTGACCACAAGAAAAGGAAAAAACTCTTAATAAACAGGTATAAGATCACATGTAGATTCGACAAGAATCAAAGCATACTGTACCTTAACTAGACGGTCAGCGGATTCAGTGATAGTAGCTGCTGCCTCGAGTCTCATCCGGGCAATTGTCTCGGCTGCACCCGCGGCAGCATCCGCTGCAGCACGGCGGGCCTGTAAAAAACGCAGCGTTCATTAAGCATTGATACAACGACTCATCACAAGACCGTCATTTGGACAAAGAAATAGGCTTTTTCCAAGCAGGGTTCGTACAGATTTTTGATCCAAAATTTAAGACTTTTTCCAGACTTTTTCCAAAACAATAATTTCTTTTCCCAGACTCAAGGTTATAAAATAGGTGATCAACAGGGACCTTAAAAAGATGCAGAAACAAAGCTTTTTCCATGACGTGCAGGCGAGATAGAATAAGATTTGACCAACACGAAAAAAATTTGACTTCTGAAGCACTTGTTGTAGCTTTAAAAAAACTCAAGACTATTTAACATTTATTTAAGACTTTACGTCTCTTTTCCCAGACTTTTTCATGAATTCAAGACTTTGTACGAACCCCGTCCAAGAGTTTTTGCTGAAAACCGTCTCCTCCGTGCACACTATTTAGGATTTTATACTACTACATGAGAAATTTCTGCAATTTGATTGGATTAGAGCAGTGGTATTTCAGCTTCATTTGAAATACCTACATGTGAAAATTACAACCCTTTTGCGGGTGGTAGTAGTATAAACAAATAATAGCATGATTGTACGTGATATTTGGCATAAATACCACTCGTGATATTTTAAAATTGTCTCAAATTGCACTCGCCTAACGGCTGGTGAAATTACGCATAACAATTTTGAAATATCACTCGTGGTATTTATTCCAAATATCACTACAAATCATGCTATTACCTATACTAATTGGATAGTTTTAATTAAAAGTGAAATTCTCATTACGACGGGAATGCTCTAGCCGGACAGTTCAGACAAATGGAAAGAGCTCTCAAACAGAAACTTAGCACTGGACCAAAAGGTGTACGTCTCATATTGAGTTGGCTGTGTAAGTGTATTAGAAAGTTTGTGACTGTAATGAATTAGTTAGAGATGAGGAGGGTGAAGTTATCTGTACGTCACTTCAGGCGGATCTTCGGAGCATTTTGAACTGTTCCGCTGTTTTACTCTGTGGATAGAGTGGTTTTCGTTTGAGTGTCGTAAAACCAAAACCAAAGTAATTACTCTGGCCAATCACATAGGACACAGACAATACATTGAACCAATCAAAACTCGAAGTAATTACATGTGGCTGACGCAAAGCGCGGGAAAATGCATGCGAGCGCGTCACAATTGGCTTTGGTTTTACTTCTGATTGGAT